CCCCCCCTCCCCATGTAACGACACGAACAACGAATGCGTTATATAAGTTCTACGTGTAGCGACATGCTCACGCGTTAAAGGTAAATTATCCGCGCATTTTTTTTTTTTTTTAACGTGAAACTGATATTTCCAGAGTATTGATTTCTCCAACGATAACGGATGCAAGCGGATGACTCGTAGCTTCTTGCTACCCGGCGAGAATACGCTGCGCGCGAAAAAATATGTAAAAATATATAAATATTTATTCGACGAGTACCAATAATATATAATACGTATATTTTTATACTAGACAAGAATAAAATGCTTCAAAATGAGAGGAAATGTATACACAGTTTCTTACATCTGTAATTTCTCATGAAAGAGCAATTATATTTATAATAACGTTCTATTTGAACGAAAGAATTTAGATTTCGATAAATATGTTACTGTGGTATATCCATCGAATAAATATTCTTTTCATTTTTTATACATCTTTCCTTTCAGCGCGCAGACATCTGGGTAGTCAAGTATAAGAATATCACGGTTGCGATAAAAACCACATTAATATTGTATATATGCCGGCTGGTTTCGCTTCGCGATAATAAATAAATAAAATAAATTGATAATCGGTGTGTGCTTCGCCGTCTCGTGATATAACGGAAAATTTGAAGAAACGATTAGCACACACTGACGTCTCAACTCGTTGATCTAATCCGATGAAGTTCAACAGCTTCGCTGACGTCGGGAGTATCTCTTATTCGTCTGCGCTTTACGTAACAGCGGAAACATGACGTGTACGGCATCTCAGACGATCTCATTATCTCGCGTTAAATATAAGATGACTTCTTATTCGGCCGTTATCGCTGTAAAGGACAACAGTATAGTACACACACACACACACACACACACATATTGACATTTTACACATGCATTTGCATATCCGACTGTTGCATAACTTATCAATAATTCGTCTCTTACGCCGGTGAAGTTATGTATATAAATATCTATCGGACACCTGTCGGATGGCAGATTTTACATAAAACCTTCGATCCGGTGAATGTATAATAGGAGCAGTCTTGTGCTCCGCCTGTCTTTTTCGCGGGCAAAATAAGAGATTCGTGTGAAACGTGTGTGTACGCAGATACGGTGGCGGCGAGCCGAAGAGTTTCCACACCGCTTTCAGCGAGTCGATCAACGACCTGAACGACTGCGACGACAACGAAATTATCACGGAGAGCTTGACTCTCGAGACCGAGATCGAGAAGAGGCACCGACTGGACAGCTTTTACTCCGCAACGTCGGCCAAGTCGACTTATTTCAGCACGGGCTCGGTCTCGAGCTACCACAGTGTCGACGACGCCGACAGCACGGAGATCGGTATGTGTATCAACTCGCGCATACGGCCTATTGAATTTAATAAACACGTGCCTCGTGTGTGCTAATGAGAGCCCATTGTCCTGCGAAGGCGCAGAGAACATCTGTAGCAGTCAAATTATGTACGGGCCGTCGTCCATCTTACCGGCGCTGACTACGCAACTTTCGAACTGCTGGACGCAGATTCAAGGTAAGACCCGATGAGAAGAAAAAAAAACAAGAAATATACAAGCGCATGCACAGATATATACATATAAACATGCACGTGCACATCGAGCACACAAAAGGTATCAGTGAATTCCAACTTTGGAATCCACATTGCAATCGAATCTTTTCCTTCCCATTCTCTGTGTCTATTCAAGATATTTAATTAAATAAGGTGTCGTATTTTAAGTAGCGCGTTGCTGCAGATTGTAAACTTGTTGACATTGCTGTATTTCCGAAACAAAATTGGTCGAAATCTTGTTTAGAAAATATTAAAGGTAGAAATTAAAAACATCACGTCAACAAGGAAAAAGTGTCAACTTTCGTTGCAAATATCTCAGTTCTCGCGAATGGTCGATCCTTTTTCTGATTCTTTCCCGCGAGCAGTTAGATAACTTATTTCGATATATATGTGGTGCAAATTTTATTAAACTCTTATCTAACTGGTTTCACTTTGCAATCTCCTTAACTAAGCTGAAAAATGCGCGAGCGAAGTGAACGTTCAATATTATATATATATATTTATATTTCTGCTTTTATAATTCACAATCGCAATATGGAATTCGAAAGTGCATCGTACCAGTTGTAATTGTCGTATAATGCGGCACAAAGGACGCTGCGTGTAGCGCGTCGTTGATTAACCCTTTAACTCCAGTTAAATTCGAAGCAGCATGTGCTTAATAGAGTACTTAATAAAATGCCGAATGTGTGTGACGGATCATAATTGAAAAAAAAAAAAAAAGAAAAATGGCTGCGTTCGGGAATACACACTGCAAAGTTAGAGTGGCATTTAATTAAGCAATTATGACAAAGAAATTGCAACACGATGTTGTTTTTGCGCGACGCGTCGGGAAGATGAGATTTACCGATCACCGCGTTGTTTGTTACGATGAGTGACGGTCAATCGAAATTTCACAGCACACGTTGTGATTCACGTGTGATCACGATCGACTAACGAGAACGAATGAACGAAGCCGGCATGCTTGATATTTTAGGAGAATTTGTGATGGTACACGCGGCCTATCAATCGCATCTTGGACAGGATTACTTTTTCGCACCGCGCGCCAGATTGGCGGACGGAATTATCTGGCTTTTAGTAGTTAAAGCTGGCATCACCCGAGCCAACTTGTTGCACGTAAGTTACGTTCCCGATCAGCATAGAGAGAGAGAGAGAGAGAGAGAGAGGGAGCGGGGGGAGGCAAAGAACGATTATCTCTCAACGTCTATCTGTTGAACAGTTTTTGTTAGGTCTAAGTAGCGGAACTCACGTGATGTGCTCTGGGGTCGATATGATACCAGTGAAAGCCTTCCGAATCGAACCCATGGAAGGAACAAGTGGCCACATCACCGTGGACGGCGAAGAGGTCGACTACGGGCCGCTGCAGGCTGAGATATTCCCTTCTCTGGCGACGGTGATGACACCCTGACGATAAACGATAATCGCGCACACTTAGCGGTGATATATCAGC